GGTCAGGCAGGGCATCCCACAGCTGGTGCCCTGGCCCCCACTGGCAGGTGCACGGCTGTCCTGGGGCCTGGGTGGGGGGGTGTCTGCTGGGGCTAACAGAGCCAGCACCATGGCCAGCAGGAGCGCAGGGCACTGGTCGTCACTGGCAGAGGCAGGGGCATGGGCTGAAGCAGCCATGGCATAGGGAGGAAGGGTGGGCAAGGAGGGAGCTGCTGTGTGCTGCCCCTGCTCTGGGCACATGGCTCCTGGGCAGGGAAGGGGCTGGCCAGGAATCAGAGGGTGGGGCTGTTTTTCCAAGATGGCTGTCAAGTGCTGGCAGCTGGCTCTGGCTTCAGTATAGCTGCCAAGTGTTGGCAGCCATGTGGCTGGAGGCTGGAGCTCCCCCCAGCAGCCACAGAGGTACGTGGCAGGGCTGAAGGGACTTGGCACTAGATTTAGTGCCATGTGTAGATGCCTGCCAAAAATCGCTTACTGTGCATTAGCTTAATGCACAGTAAATTTAGTCATACTTAAATGCATGTGTAAATGCATCGTTTATTTATGAAGATCTAAGTCAGGGGTGGTCAACCTGTGGCAACCTCCGTGTAGCATATGGCAGATTGGAGGGGACAGGGAGCACAGTGTCAGATAGGGCGTGAAGCAGAAAGCAGAACAGAAACTTGGTCAGGGAGCACAGAGTGGCACCCAGCCAGTGGGGGGGGGGGGCTAATTTCCGGCAAACCTGCCAAAATATTGACACCCTCCCCCCCACTCCCCACTGATCTAAGTCATTCAGCAATTCCCCTGGAGACCTACTGAAGAAACTCCTTGCAGTTCCTCCCTACACAGAGCTCTTGATTTGTAGGAAAGCAAAGAGCCCTTCAACCCCATATACAAAAAATAAATCTCCCTTAAGCTTCTGCTCGGAACCTGATAGACTGACTCAGGGAAGTCAGAGAAGTGAGACCCAGAAGCCTTATCTCTACCTGCATACCTCTCTCCCTAACGGACCTCTTCTTGCATATCCTACCTCTTCAGAAGACTGTGCTGCTCTCACACCAACCAAGCTTTTTTATGCTTGTAATGAATGATTCAGCTTGAAAGTCATTCCTTTAAGTTCTGCTTTAGAAGCAGAGCAATAACACACATAGCACTGCAAATATGTTGAACATGTTACGAGTACCTGTGAAGAGACATTCCTGGCCATCAGCGGGGGCAAGAGGTTTGTGCTGTGAATCTGGGATAGCCACCAGTGGCTGCAGAACCTCAGAGCGCTTTTCTGGAGCCCAGTGAGAAGCCAGCACATCCCAGCAAGAGGCTCCTTACCTGCTTCACCACCCTTCTGAAAGTTTACCCCTCCAGTTTGCTACTGACAAGCAAGCCCGTTTGGTGTGGGCAGATGGGAGGACCAACTTAGTCACTGCAGTCACGTTTCGGCAAGGTGGCCTCACATGGCAGAGATCTGCAATCATTACAACCTATTTACAAAAGCCACGGGAAAACCACCAGGATATGAATTCATGTTACACAGAGAAGTGCCTCCTGATGCTCTGTGTGACTGGAAGGGCATAAATAGTTTGCTATTGCAAAACAAGGGAGGAAACAGCTTTGGCTTTGCAATGTGGAAGCCTGCCTAGGCCCTAGAGTATCTTTGCTATCTAAAATTTGCTGAGAACCTGCTGTGAAGTGCAGTGTTGCAATAAGCATTTGGCATTCTGGGGATTAGCAGGGTTGGTGCCCTGTTACAAGTGCTGGGCAGCAAATTAATTTCCTCAATGGAACTGACTTACTGATTTATTTTCTGGCTTGACTGAGAAGCACAGTTTACATTAGGTTAGAGGGTGCTGCTCC